GTCGATGACACTGTCTAACCATCTCATCCTTTGCCGTCCCCGTCTTCTTTGACCTTCAATCTTTCCCAGCATCAGGGTCTTCTCCAGGGAGTGCTCCCTTCTCATTTGGTGGCCAAAGTATTTGAGCTTCAGCTTCATTATCTGGCCTTCCAGGGAACAGTCCGGGTTGATTTATTTTAGGATTGACTGATTTGATCTCCTTGCAGTCCAAAGGACTCTCAAGAGTCTTCTCCAGCACCATAGTTCGGAAGCATCTATTCGGCGCTCGGCCTTCCTTATAGTCCAACTCTCGCAGCCATATATTACTACTGGGAATACCACTACTTTGACCATACGGACTTTTGTTGGCAACCTTGACTGTTCCCTGGAAGGCCAGATAATGAAACTGAAGCTCAAATACTTTGGCCACCAACTGAGAAGGGAGCACCCACTGGAGAAGACCCTGATGCTGGGAAGGACTGAAGGTCAAAGAAGACGGGGACGGCAAAGGACGAGATGGTTAGACAGTGTCATAGATGCAACGAACATGAAGTTGAGCAAACTTCAGAGGACGGCGGAAGACCAGAAGGCCTGGCGTGATCTGGTCCATGGGGTCGCGAAGAGTCGGACTCGACTGTGCGACTGAACAACAACAACTAGGTTTCCATCGCTTTCCTCCCAAGGAGCAGGCGTCTTTTAATTTCATGGCTGCAGTCACTGTCTACAGTGATCTTGGATCCCAAGTTCCTCTTTGACCGAGCTCTTAATGGCAAGGGATCAAGGTGGTTTGTAGTTAACATACACACACACATGCAATGTGTAAGATACAAAATTTCGGATACCAGTACCAGCCTTTGTATGATGTAAAACTAAAATAATGCAGCTTGCCAGCCCCAGTTTGTAAAAAAAACCAAAACAACAGAAGTGTGCAAGATATATAGTATAAAATTATTTTTTAAAAAGCCCCTTCAGTGCTCTGGCTGTTAATTGATTCTTGGCTTGATGGATTTCTGTTGCTGTTTGAGAGAGTTCTGTCTGGTCAGTTTTTGATTTTGTTTCAGGGCGTAAGCGGCTTCCGACCACTTGCTGGAGATGGGGCATATAGAATGATCCTAAACAAAACCCAGAATTAGCCAGTCCAGTCGTAAAAAGAGTTCCGACATAGCCAATAGGGTTGCCAACCTCCAGGTGGGGGCAGGGGATCTCCTGCCATTCTCCAGGACATCAGTTCACCTGGAGAAAATGGGCACTTTGGAAGGTGGACTCTATGGCATTTTGCCCCACTGAAATCCCTCCCCTCCCCAAACCCCGCCCCCTCAGGCTCCACCTCCAACATCTCCAGGTATTACCCAACCTGGAGCCGGCAACCCTAATTTTGCCAAGGACAAACCCACCCCATGGAAACATCGACAATGAACCCCAGCTTTGAAAAAGCAAAGCCTGTAAACAAAACAAAACACCGGTCACTAGCAATGAAGAAAAAATCCGCATTCAAATAGCGGCCGAAACAAAAGGCTAAAGACTCGTTGCCACCCCTTTAGGTCTTCTGGCCCGCAGATGGGAGGCGTTGAATGGAAACCGGAAGTGTGTCCGCTCTAGGTGGTAGGGTTTTCCGTCCCTCAGTGGAGGGGAGGGGCTAAAAGAGGGGCGGGGCTTGGAGGGGAGGAGTCAAGTGGGGGGGGCGAGGAGGAGGAGGGCGAGGGCGGAAGAGCAGGTGAGGAAATAAAGGTGGGGGGCGTCGGTAGGAGGGCCGGGAAACCCCCCCCCGGAAAAGCCTTGATGGGGGGCAGCGGGGGGTTCCCCAAGAGCCCTGTTGGCATGGGGGGAGGGGCTGAAAGAGGTCCTGAGAAAGGGGGGGAGGCGAATGACGTTAGGTGGGGCGGATGGTCCATGGGGGGGAGGGGGCAGTTGGTGGGGGGCTCAGGTTAATCTTCCC